TTAAAACTACACCCAGATATAATAATAATAATCTTAGAAATTCAGCACAAGAACAACTTACTAAAAGCTCCCAGAAGGGGGAAAAAACCAAATTACATGTAAAAGAAAACCTATCAGGATAATAGCAGATATTACAACACAAACTATCAAGTCAAGAAGAACATGGAGAAAATGTTTGAAGTCATACAAAAAATCAAATTCCAACCCAGACTGATAAACTCTGCAAAAGTCTCTTTCAAGTTTAATGGAGAAGTAAAAGAACAGCTAAAGCAATTCCTGATGTCCAAGCAAATCCTACATAAAGACCTAAAAACATTATAGAAATATAACAAAATGACCACAACTCCAAGAATAAAGATCCCATCAAACAGGGTAAATGACACAGAGAAAATAGGGTAACAACAGGAAAATAACATGACAAACATAAGGCAATCCATGTCCATCATATCTATCAATGTAAATGCTGTCAATTCACCAATTAAAAGAAAAAAGATTGGCAGAGTGGATCAAGAAAGAAAAATCCGTGGCTGGAGAGATATCTTGGCAGATGAAGTGCCTGCTTATACAAGTGCAGGGGCTGGGTTCAATCCCTGGCACCACATACCATGCTGTACCTTCCCCCAAGCACACTGAGCCAGAGATTGAGTCCAGGAATGGTGGCTCAGGCCTGTAACCCCAGACCTGGGGAGCCTGAAACAGGAGGATCATTTCATGTACAAATTATATAGTGGGACACTGCACAAAATAAAAAAAAAGAAGAAAGAAAATCCAACCATATACTGTATACAAAAAAAAAAAAAAAAAAAAAACCCAAACAAACAAAAAAGACATTTATCCCAAAAAGAAATTCATGGGCTGAAAGTCAAAGGATTGAAAACAATACTAAATGCTCCAGGAGCCCAGAGAAAAACAGGGGTAGATATTCTGTTCACAGACCATCAACTTCAAGCCAAGAATGGCCAAATGAGATGAAGACCAAAACATACTAGTTAGGGGAAAATTTTAATAGCAAGAAATAAAAGTAATAAATCTGTATGCATCTAGTTGGGAACAGTCAAGTATATAAGACAAATTGTAAAATCTAATAACTAGTAAAACAATCTTAGCAGGGGACATTAACACTATCCTGTCTCAAAAGGTAGGTCAAATACACAAAAAATTAGCAAACAGTTAGCAGAACTGAACCAAAACTTTAAACAAATGGACTTAGTGGACATTTATAGAGTGTTTTACCCAACAACATTGGAATACACATTCTTTTCAGATGCTCATGGGATGCTATCCAAAATAGACCACATATTAGTCCATAGATCATGCTTATGTAAATGAAAGAAAACAGAATTTGTTCCACACATATTGTGTGACAACAATGCAAACAAACTGGAAACTAATGATAAAAGGTACTGCAAAGCCCTATAGTTAAATAACATCGTCCTCAATAACCAGCGTGCTACAGACAAAATTAAATACCTACAAGCCAACAAAAAATCAAACAGAACTAACCAGAATTTGTTGGATGCAATGAAAGTAATTCTCAGATGGAAATATATAGGGATGAACACATACATAAGGAAAACAGAACAAGAAGAAATACCTTAATGCTGCACTGAAAGCTTTTTAAAAAAAAATAGCAAACCAAACTGAAATCTCAAAGAAGACAGGAAATTATAAAAATTAGAGCGGAAATCAATGCAATTGAGACAAAGAAACAATGCAAAGAATTGATGCATCAAAGAGCTGGTTCTTTGAAAGATTAAATAAAATTGATAAACCCCTTGCCAAACTCATCAAAAATGAGGAAAGAGAAAACTCAAATTCAAATAATAAGGAACTAAAAGGGTGTAGTTACTACAGATCTTGTGGAAATCCAGAGGATCATCAATAGTTATTTTAAAAATCTCTACTCTCACAGAATCTTAGACACAGAAGAAATGGACAAATTCCTACATATGTACAAACTGCCAAAACTTAATCAAGAAGATAGAAAACTGGATAACCCACTATCAGCCATTGAAATTGAAAATGTAATCAAGGACTTATGAACAAAGAAAAGCCCAGGTTTTAATGGATTCACAGCTGTGTTCTGCAAGAAATTTTAAGAAGACTTAATCCCAAAACTCCTAAAAGTCTCATTTGTACTGTTTCTTGTTTCTCTGTTTCTGCCTTTGTTTCTGCAATTTGTTTTTTCTCTTTAAAAGCAAATTTAAAAATAAAAACTAAAGAGAAAAGAACAAAAACAAACCAGAACAAAGACAAAAACAGAGAAACATAGAACAATAAAAATGGTATAGAATTTCAAAACAAGAACAGAAAATTAACAATGATTGGTTGTTGCATAATAAATTGTTATCATCCAATTTGTTCTTCAGACTAGCAGACCTAAAGATGTCAGATTGATAAAGCAATTAAACATTAACTCTTCTTTTCCCTACACCTTAATTTTTTCTTTGTCATTTTTACTTTCAATTTTTTAAATTTATTTTATAGAGTATAAAATAATAGATAAGACATTAGAGATGATACATATTTAAAACAAAAATATGAAAGATATTCAACCACATTTGTTATGTGGTTGCTGTCTTCACTGAATTTGCTCATGTTAGAGATATTAGCATATAGAGTTGATAAAAGTAAAACTTTCAAAATTTATCTTCTACTTTCAAAAAATTAACAGAAATTAGTAGTACAATCATCTCTACTAACCTATCTATATACCTACATGGACTTTCCCACTTCCTTTTTTCTTTGCTTTTCTCCTTCCCCTCATATTAATTGTTTATTTCTTATACTGTTTCTTTCCATTTTACTATATGTAATGTGCTTTTCAGATTTTATTTATTCTTTCAGGTTCTTACACTAAGGATACAATACAATGTTTATACAAGTGGATCTGGGATTTTTCACTTATGATTGTAGCCCCCGGTTGCATTCATTTATCTACAAAAGCCTCAAGTTTATCTTTCATTTTAGCTTTGTAATACTACACTGTGTAAAAACACCAGATCATTTTATCCATTTTTCAGTTGATAGTAATTTAGATTGTTTCCAAGATTTAGGTATGACAAATTGTGCTACTATATACATGGGTGCACATATATCACTGTGGGATGATATTTTCAGTTCTTTTTGAAAGATACACTAAAAGAGAATAGCTGAATTGAATGGTGCTTTCAATCCTACTTTTTTTGAGGAGTGTCCACACTGTTTTCCTTCATATTTATATCAATCTACATTCCCACCAACAGTGGATAATGGTTCCTTTTTCCCCCAAAGCCTCTCCAACATTTGTTATTAGTTAATTTTTTATGATAGCCATTCTCACTGGGGTGAGATGGTATCTCCTGTTTTCTTTTGTTTTTTGTTTGTTTCTTTGTTTTGGTGGAACCTGGGATTGAACTCAGGCCCTTGCACTTGCCAGGCAAGTGCTTATTCGACTGAGCCATCTCCCCAGCCCCTAAAATGTTTGTTGTTGTTTTTGTTTGTTTGGTTTTTGTTTTTGTTTTGTTTTGCGGTACCAGTGATTGAACTCAGGAACCTGCAATTGCCAGGCAAGTGGAGATAGTATGTCAATGTTGCTTAAATTTGTATTTCTCCAATGGTCAGTTCTGTGGAACATTTTTCCATGTATGTGTTTGCCATTTTCATCTTCTGAAAAGTATGTATTCAGCTCAGATGCACTTTTTTGGATTGCGTTTTTTAATTTTGGAGGCCTGATTTTTTTTTAAGTTCTTTATATATTCTAGATAGAAGGCCTTTGTCTGAATGAGTTTTAATTTATTTTTTTCCAATTTGTGAGTTTTCTTTTCACTCTGTTGGAGATTTCTTTTCAGATGCAAAAAATTCTCAACAAGGTGAGATCTCAGTTGTTGAATCTTTGTTGTTTTTCTTGTGCAGTTTGGTTTTTGTTTATGAACACTCTGTTTACCCTTAGGTCTTCAATATTTCTGCCTACATGCTCTTCTAATAGATTTAGTGTTTCTGTTTTAATCTTAGATCTTTAACCCATTTTTGACTTTAGGTTAGTGCATGGTGATAGACCGGGATCTAGTTTTAGCTTTTGGCATGTGATAAGCTAACCTCTAAACAACCTCATCAAGGAAAAGAAAAAAAATCTCAAATTCAAACAATAAGAAATGCAAAGTGTGTAATCACTACAGATCCTGTTGAAATTCAGAAGATTATCAATAGCTACTTTGAAAATATTTACTCTCTTAGGAAGTAAAGCACAATTAATGGACAGAGTCCTACATAGATACAAATTACCAAAACTGAAACAAGGTTCAAAACCTTTGAATAGCTCAATGTCAGCCAATGAAATTGAAGATGTAATTTTAAAAACCTACTAACAAAGAAAAGCCTACATGCTGATGTACTCACAGACAAATTCTACAGGAAATTTAGTTTTTTTAATCCTAATATTCCTCAAACTCTTGCACAAAATTGAAAATGAAGCTATATTCCCCAATTCATTTCTTGAGGAAAGCATTAGACTAATGCTAAAACTTCCGAAAGACCCAAACAAAAAAGGTACTACAGACCAATGTCTCTCCTAAACATAGGTGCTAAAATCATCAATATAATACTAGCCAACAGAATGCAATCAATCATTATATACCATGATCAGGTAGGATTATCGCAGCAGAGCAGGGCTGGTTCTACATACACAAGTCTGTAAATGTAATACACCGAATCAACAAAATCAAAAACAAAAACCACTTCATCATCTCAATAGATGCAGAATAGCCTTTTGACAATTTCTAACACTCATTCATGATAAAACCCCAAGGAAAATTGGATTAGTTGGTCTATACCTTAGTCTGATAAAAGTCATCTAAAACAAACCAACAGCCAAAATTATTCTTAATGGAGAAAACTTGGAAACATACTCTCAAATCAGGTACAAGACAAGGATGTCCAATACTACCACTCATATTCATTGTACTCCTGGAAATATAGCCAGAGAAATTAGACAAGAGAGAGGAAAAAAGGAATAAGAATTGGAAAGAAGTTAAACTATCATTATTCGCAAATGACATGATACTCTACATGGAAGACCCAAAAAATTCCATCAAGCAACTCCTAGAATTAATAAACAAATTCAATAGCATAGCAGGATACACAGTCAACACCTCGGAATTAAACTGATGAGAACAGATACTACACTTGATCTTAGCCAAAAGGCAGATAGGCAATAATACCTCAAAATTCATAACATTCCTCTACAAAAACAAACTCACTGAAGGAGAAATTAGAGAGGTAATGCCCTTCACAAGAGCATCCCCAAAATGAAATATTTAGGAATCATCTTCAAAGGAAATAGAAGATTTATACAATGAAAATTAAAATATGCCGAGAAAAGAGATTGAAGAGAATTTCATAAAATGGAAAGAAAGTCCATATTCCCGGATAGGAAGAACCAACATTGTGAAAATGGCCAGGCTCACAAAATTATTACACAGATTTAACGCAATCCCTATCAAAATACCATCAACGTCCCTCACAAATCTAGAGAAAACATTCTTGAAAGTTATATTGCAACCAGAGAGACCAAGATTAGCAAAGATAATTTTGGGGAACAAAGACAAGGCAAGAGGCATTACAATCCTTGACTTGAAATTATACCACAAAAATACTGTGATAAAAATCAGCATGCTGGGGCTGGGGAGATGGCTCAGTAGAATAAACACTTTCCTGGCAAGTGCAAAAGTCTGAGTTCAATTCCTGGTTCTGCCAAACAAAACAAAACAAAACAAAACAAAACAAAACAAAACAAAACAAAACAAAACAAAACAAAACAAAATCAGCATGGTACTGGCAAGAAAAAAAAGATCCAAGGACAATGGACTAGATTAGATGATGCCAATACAACTCCAAAGACACTTAGCCCAAAGGGGCCAAGCATGTTCACTAGATGACAGATAGCCTCTTTAACAAGTGGTGCTAGAAAAAGTTCCAAATTGTTTACAATATCTTAATAGTAACAGAGTTTCTTTTAGATTTCTATGGATGTGTTCATGCTTCCCCCCTGTGTTCAGTATATTGGAGAATCCTTTCTTGTGCAAACTCTCTCCCAGCAATTGTCACCCCTATTACCTGGGCAAATTTTCTCTAGAGTCCAAAGCTGCTTTGGGAGTTGAAGCAAAATATAATAAAAAGAAAGTAAAAAAAATGACCAATATTCATGGTTATTAGTACAACTCTTCTAGAATGAGTGCTGATACGATGGCAATGCATTAGCCATTCTATCTCATTTCTTCCCATACCAGCATTCTCTGCCCTCTGACTTTGGAGTATGCAGTTTCTCCCATATGATTGTATAAGAATCCATCTTTCTTAGATTATGGGTTATTTGAGTTTTTTGAAATTTCAGTTCTCTGAAATGTGCACAAAGACTAATATCCTGGTTAGTTGAACTTTTTCTTTATATAAATTGAAAATGTTTTTTTCAAAGCTATGCACTCCTAAGGTGACAAAAATAGCAAATATAAATCCTTCCAAATGGCAGTATTTTAAATAAGAATTTCTTTATCTTAAGCAAGAATCTAAAAATTAGCAAATTTTAATATTTAAACTTGAGAAACCAACAGGCTCAGGGGGCTCACGCCACTTTGGCAGGCCTACCAGGAAGGAACCACAGAACCAGCAGTTAGTGGGGTAAAGCAGGCTCACTTGGACTGGGCTCAGCTGGAAGGAGTCAAACCCAACAACCAGACTCATGCCAGATCCTACCAGTCAAGTTCAAGTTCAATTGATCTAGACCTGGTTATGGGGGTCTAGCCCTTGCAGGGAGGAATAGGATAGAGGAAAGACACAATGAAAAGACAAAAGTTTGGCATCAGGATGACTAGACTGCTGGCTCAGTAATTACTTTTATTAGTTTTAAGGTTATATACAGAAAGTTTTGATCATGTGTCAACATTTGCCCTAGTTAACTCTAAACACAGTCTATTTCTCTGGGAACGAGATAGCTTGTCAATGTAGGAGATTGCACACTGTAAAGCCCTGGGAATGAAGTTGAGCAATTTTCTCAAACTTCAGGTCAAGGAAGCTGATCATGTGGCCACATCCACTTCTTTATATGGTTGCCCATTACAGGACCAAGTCTCCAACACCTGGTGAGCTGAGACATACTTCTGGGGCCAGCCCAGCCCAAGACCCAGAACTACAGGAGCATCATCACAACACAGAGGTGGCAGCAGGGAACTGGGATGAGCTAGTCTCCCTGGAAGAATTCAGGTGAATGAAATGGAGGTGACTAGACAAAACTCAGGAGAACCAATTAAATACAAATTCTATAAGATCTGCTTTGTTATACAGCTATAATGTTTGCTCTTATGGTCTAAAGTACAAACCCATCAGTTACAAAAGCTTGTCAATTTCTCAATTTCACCAGCTGTTATTTGTATTGCTAATTGTACTACTGTAAATTAGAAATCATAGTGCTTTAGCCACATTTTCCCTTGGGTATTAATTTCAGGAGGTGCTTGGGTAACAACTTTAGCAAAGCCCTACACAGATGGACAGAGGACAGTACCAAGCAAAAATGAATATCTCACTCTCAATGACTAGAGAAGACAAAATCTTGGGACTCACACAAAACAAGAATCGCTGAGACAAGAAGGATACCTAAAAACCAGACTCTTCACAGGCTCTGACTGCAGTGACACAGCTACCTACTATCAAACTTTCACAAAAAGGTATCACAGAAATCAAAATAAAAAGTTCTCACTAAAATAGAAAATGACAAAAAGAAAGAGCAAAATGTATTCTCAGACCCTGAGCCCACCCAGAACAAACTCAGGAGACATCAGTATAGAAGAAATTGAAAGCCACACACTTGAAATCTCTGAAATAATAGCAACTGAACTACAGAAACAATTGCAGAAAAGTTTCAGATCAGATCAGAAATAGAGGAAATCAGATCAGATCAGAAATAACCACACAGGTAAAGAAAAAAATAATAATTACAATGAAAGCATTACTAAACATTTCTAAAGAAGATATTGATAAAAAAATGAACACTAGAGAGATGCGCTGCACTGTACCTGCTCTGGGGTTTGGGAAAAAGAACTGAGAGTGACTAAGTCTGAGTGCATGCACTGACCTGGTTAATACTGTGATGTTACTGTTAAGAACTATTAATTTTCCTAATTTTCATGATCATGCTGTCCTTGTTCTTAGGGTAAATGTCATGATATTCCTCACTTCACTGGTGTATATATAATATATAAATTTTCTACATATATATTTTTACACATTTATAAATATAAACATTTTGTAAATATAAATGTTTTGTAAGTGGGGATGCAGGACTTTTCATATATTTGTATGCATAATGGTATATATGATGGCATGTAGATATGTATCTGAAGATATATAAATATATATATTTGACAAACTATAAACATTTAATAAGCCAAGCATGCAGGAAAAAAATAGAAAATAGAAAAATGTTGGAAACTTTGAAGAGAATCTAAATCCCCTGAAAGAGAAAGTAGGTGGAAATCTTGAAGACAAAGAAGTAGGCAGACAGTTCCTGAACAAAACTCCAAATGATTAGGAAATACTACAAAGAATCAACAACTGGGTTCTCATCTTATTGAGAATTTTCTGCACGTCAAAAGAAATCACCAACAGGAGCTGGGGAGATGGCTCGGTGGAATAAGCACTTCCCTGGCAAGTGCAAGGGCCTGAGTTCAATCCCTGGTTCTGCCAAAAAAAAAAAAAAAAAAAAAAAAATAGAAATCACCAACAGAGTGAAAAGACAATGCACAAATTGGGAAAAATTGTAACCAGCAATCACACAGACAAAGGTCTTCTATCTAGAATATATAAGGAACTAAACAAAACATATTGCCTCCAAAATTTAAAGACCCAATGGAAAAATGAGCATGTGAGATGAACACACACTTCTTAGAGGTAGAAATACAAGTGGCAAATATATATGAAAACATGTTCCACATCATTGGCCATTTGAGAAATGCTCATTAAAACAGCATTGAGATATCATCTCATCCCAGAAAGAATATTTATCATAAAGAAATCAACTAATAACAAATGCTGGAGAGTCTGTAGGGATAAAGAACCCCTTGTCTACTGCTGATTGGAATGTAGACTGGTTCAACCACTATGGAAATCAGTGTGTAGACCCCTGAAAAAACTAGGAATGGAAATCTCATTCAATCCAGTTATTCCCCTTCTGAGTATTTTGCAAAACAGAACTGAAAACGTCATACCACACTGATGTATGTGCACCCATGTTTGTAGCAGTATAATTTGTTACAGTCAAATCTTGAAAACAACTCAAATGCTCATCACTTGAGGAATGGATAAGTGAGATGTGGTATTTTTATACAATGGAGTATGATTCAGCTATAAAGAAAGACAAACTTGAAGCCTATAAGTAAACGAACCTAGAGACTATAGTCATAAGTGAAATAAATCAGACCCACATGTGTAAATATTATATTGTCTCCCTAGTGTAAGAACCTGAGAGAAGAAATAAAACTCGAAAGGTATAATAGATAAAGTGAGCAGAAGGATACTGAACTTAACAATTAAACAATGACAATGAGAGAAAGGAGGAAAAGATAGGAAAAAAGGAAGGAGAAAAAACTTGCAAGTATATATATAAGATGATTGTACTTATAATTTCCATCAGTTTTTTAAAAAGCATTTAATGTTTAGAATTTTCACTTTTACTAACTATGCATGCTGATATCTGCAATTTGAGCAAATACATTGAGGACAGCAATGTGTGATACAAAATGCACAGTTGAATGAATACCTCTCATCTTGGTGTTCTAAATGTGTACCATTTCTAATGCTTTATCAATTCTTATACTCTCTTTAAAATAAATTAAAAGAAAAAAAAGACAAGGAAAAAAATTAAGAGTCCTTGAAAGCAAGCGTCAATTTTCGATTTGCTCCCCAGTCTTTCTACATCTGCTAATCTGAGCAACAGATTTAACTATAAATATAGATAATGTAACAACCATTGTTAATTAGCTATTCCTGTTTTGAAAATCTACAGCATATGTATTTTTGTATATTATCTTGTTTCAGTCCTTTTTTCTTTGTTTTTGTTTCTTTTTTTACTCTTCAAAATTAAATTAAATTAAAAATTTGTTTTATTTTCACAACAGAACTCTAAAATATACGGTATACTAAAAATCACACAATTATTAAATAAA